CCCGAATCCTGCCGCAAGGGCAGCAGTCTGCACCGCCACGGCCGCGGGCCCAGAGAACGAAGGGGCCGATCCTCCGGCGGCCGCCAAGGCCTCCGCCTGAAGAACGGCCATCTCTTCCTCGCCGAGATCATCATATACGGGGATTGTGCCCGTGGCGGTCTTGATTCGCGCCTTTACATCAGATGTCTTGCGCCAGGTGATGGACGACTGTACCTTCACGTCGACGAACGGGTCCGGGTTGGATCGGCCCATCAGGGTCGAGCCGAGCTTCGAAAGGAATCCTGCGGAGACAGTGCGCCGTTAGCTTTTCGCCAAAATAGTTTCTTTTCATTCACTGATTGATTCGCATGATCATGAAAAAGATGTAGAGCACGGGGAACCAAACCAGCCCAAAGAAAGCACGAATGCTTTATGGAATGATTGAGATAATGATGATGATAATGTGATTAAACGTTAGATGAAGCATTGCTGCGACCTACATGTAGGTCTCCATCGATCACCACCACTCTACCTTTCCGCATAGCAGGTGTTTCAATCCGGGGTACGCCAGGGATTAATCAAAGGGCACTTCGCCCTTTGGGTCATACTATAAAAAAGAGGCAGGCAATGCCCGACTCTTTCCCATGCGATTCCCTTCGCCTGGCGTTTTCAGCCGTCAAATTGATCCAGTTTCCGAACCGCAAACTCCGCTTCCAGCTTCGCCAGGCGTTCAGCTTCAACCAACTGCGAAAGTCAGCCACTTTCGTGTTTATTTTATTAAATTGAATCCAGCTGGAGTATCTTGGAAACTCAAACATTACGTATGCAATTTAGTCGCAAATGATAAAATTGAATTTATAAATATTCCACCTTTTGAGGTATTTACCCATAATTTGTTGATTTCTGGACAAGTGAATGTGGAAAGTGTCCAGAACAGTGGCTCTCTTCCCCAAAATAACCACATATATCAGGTAAGGTAAAAATTGAAATATGACATGTGCATCCAAATTCGGCTTGGCATCCTTGATGTATATTGGGCATCTAAGATCTTGGATCAGTTTTCAATTTTAGGTTGAATTACCAGACATCGGAAACCTCTGTCTTGCCACAATACTTGTACTGGAATTTTGCTCGCCAAAAGTGGAAGCCGTAGCTTTTACTTGATAACGTACTACTGCTGTACAGGATTTTTTCTGAGCTCAACAAAATTCACTTAATTTTAACGGAATAATATTTAATATATCTATAATGCAAACCCAATAATTTCCAAAATACATTCCATGTCCTTTCTAGCCTATCAGATCCCGGTAGTTTGGAAGCACTTATGAAAGATAGATCCAGAAATGGCAACAGCTGTAGATGAAATGGACTGTCTGGAAGCCCTTGAAGATCTTCATGCTGTAGGACATACATCATTTATAGAGTGAATATATTATATATACATGTACACAAACATACACACATACATATGAGAGTGTGTGTATGTGTGTGCGTGTGTGTGTGTGTGTGCACATACATACATACATATACATCCTCGTGTGTTTGTTGTGTTATTGATACATATCTTCATGTATACATATATACATAATATTATATATATATATTATATATATATATATATATATATATATATATATATATATATATATATATATATATATATATATATATATATATTATATATATATGTATAATCTTTATTTGTGTGTACACACACGGACACACAAGCGCGCGCATACACACACACACACACACACACACACACACACACACACACACACACACACACACACACACATATATATTATATATTATATATATATATATATATATATATATATATATCAAAAGACTGTATTAGTATAACCCTTATGAGAGATACAGGCAAAAATGTATCAGTGAAATTAGTCAATCCTTTTCACAAATGCCTTATCACTGGAAAACATCCGAAGGCCAGGAAAATGCAACAATTAAAAAAGAAAAAAAAGGATAAAAAATTCTAAGGGCCGTATTATAAAAGTTTCGTGAAGGAGCTGGCAATGACCAGCCGAATTTACCCTGAAACCCCACTTTCGACCGCGATCCTTACCTTCTGTTTTCACTAGACTTATCATTGCTAGAAAGAAATCACAAATCACCTGAAGTAGAAAAGCCTATCCACAAGAAACTGAGGGAACTTATTCAAAAGTATAATGACCGTAAAATCAAATACCTTGCGCAGTCAAACAATATTACAATCCTAAATTAAAATTACAGAAAACTAGAACAGTTGGAGGATAGCAATAAAGAACAAATGGCTTAATTTTTCTTATCCTGACACCAGGGTTCTTCATACAGTACAATTTGTCCCTGGACCTTATGCCGTTTTTTCTTCTCTTTTATGTATTGTGATATAAATTATAGTCCAGTTACATCTGGTGTTAATTAAAGTTTGCTTTATGTTCGGTTTTGAATTAATATCAGAATTCTTGATTGATATAAATTATGAATATCATGTGATATTTACTTGACAGGTATTTAC